TTTCCGAGTAACTTATAGCCTCAGCTAAATCCCATGTTCCTTTTCTCCAGCCTCCTGTCAGTGTTGCCAGCCTCCTCGTTCTTCAGGAGTTGTTTGCCCATTGTTCATGGAGTTACTTTCAGGTTGTTTTCTTTAAATTAAATTTGATGTCCCTTTTTTATTTTTATTTTTTTAATGTGTCTTGTGGATTCTTGAGCTTTTACTTGGTATGTGCAGCATACTCTCCCATGTCTAGGGTGCCAAGTTTAACATGAGAAAGGAAAGTTTGGCCATTCTCTGAGGCTTCATCTGAGGAAGAGCTGCACCAGCAGATCCGGGACAAGGAGGTCATTGCCAGTAGCCTCTCCTATCTCGGGGCTGTAAGAGCTCAACCCCGGAGAGAACCAGGCCAGAGGGGAGGGGGCGAGTGACCTCAAACCTGCCAGGAGGACACAATACATAACTTTTGTGACTGAAGAAATTATCTTCCACTCGTGGATCACAGGCTGCCAGTGACAAGGACCTGATGAGGCTGAAAACAAAGTTACTTCCATTCTGGCTTCAGCCAGCCAGCACTTCACATGAAATCACAGAAACACTTAGAGTCAACACCTGCTCTAAGTAGTTACCCCACCGCGAAATGTAGACAATTGAGCTAGGGCCGTGGCTCTCATGGGTTGGCTATTTGTCCTGTATGCATCAGGTCCTTAGTCCCCAGCACCACAAAAAGAAAAGTATAGACAGTCTGCACTGTAGAGGCCGTGTCTGTAAATATGTTCAGTGAGTTGGCTAATCTGCTGTCAGATGCAGTTTGCTCATGTGCTCTGAGCCAAAGAAATGTTGAAGAGGCTTTGTTTCTGTTGTTTATAGTACCTGTCCTACAAGTTAGAGAAGAGAAAAACAAGTGTGGCTGAGCTGATGGGAGTTTTGTCTTCAGTGACTAGGCAGAGCAGAACCCTCCTGACAACCCCCACACTGTCCTTGGGTTTAGCTGTGCTAGGTGATGTCCTGTTCTCTGGGAAACACAGGGCATGGGATTTGGTCTGTGCCAAGTGGTGGTTCCTTGGGATCCCCCTTCCTGAGTAGTAGACAGCTTAACCAAATGCTAACAGCAACGGCCATAACTAACTCGCTGAACAACGTGCCTCAGGCAAAACCACTCTATCATAGTCCTCTCAAGCCCTGCAGTCTTAAAAGGAGCAAACTGGAACACTTAGGTCACTCTAGTGCTGGTGTGTGGCTGCAGGGTGGCTTTGTCTGACATCAGCTGAGCTTGCGTGGGTGTATGGCAGAGGCCCCAGCTACAGGTACTAAACCAGTGTCCAGTGTCTACCGCAGCTGTGGTGTGTCTGCCCTCCTGACCTCTTGTTCTACCTCAGGCATGCAGTGTTGTGAGTGATGCTCCTTCAGGTCTCTGGCCAGCTCCCTGATAGACTGCACTAGAACTTCATCTGTGAAAACTTATTTTACACACATTTCTGAAACGTAGGAATGCTAAAGTTTGATTGACTACACCCAACACAAACATCAGCTCATCTGATAATGGCAAGAAAGCAAATTATAGAGTAACCGCCTGTGTTATCAAGTTGAGGAGCAGGAGGTAGTATGAGGTTGTCAGTCCCTTCATGTCTGGTACTCAGTCCTGTACCTTGACAGCTCAAGCAGAGCCCTGCCACTGTCCCCCACACCAGGGCTACCGCTACCGGTCTACTGAATGGCAAAGGAAGGACTCCAAGCAACTATGCCTTAGACTTAAAGCACTCCGCTGGATATCCCATGCTTGCTTCTGTAACAGTCTGTCATGGTTATGATGGGCATAGTCCTCCATGGGCTCAGCTATTCGAATACTTGATCCCCTGCTGGTGCTGCTGTTTGGGGAGGATGTAGAACCCCTTTTACTGGGTAATTGATTGAGAGATGGCATTAAGGTTTGCTTCCTGAACTACCCAAATGTGAACCAGCAGCTTCATGCTCCTGCTATCACAGATGAGCCACTCCCACCTTCCTAACCAGGATGGATGTACCCTCAAAGTGTCCGTCAAACTAAACCCTCCTGGAAGTTGCTTCCTGTCAAATATGTGGACTCATCAGATGCCTCCATTCCTGGGTTGGTCATTTTATGTTAGGAACAGTGGTTGCTTCTCACAAGGACGGAAAATACAGGGCCATCACTGGAAACCAAAACATGAGACATTGCTAGAGGCAAAGAAGGCCCGTTTCGTAGAAAACACTTGGCTGTAAGTTACTGAAAAGTAATTGGTATTAGTAGTGACAGGTTTCTTGGACACACCTCAGGCACCGTGGTGTTAAGCTATTGCTGTGGAACCTCATTGGAGGCTCTGGAGCCTCTTGAGCAATCAAGGTGGGCAGAGCTTAGGCTTGTTCGGTATGGACTGGGCCCCACGGCAGCAGCAAGACCCTGCAGTGAGGGTTGGGTGGAGTGCCTGTAGAGCCCTGCTGTTGCCTGGGTGGGGTTGCTAAGCTGGGGTAAGTCCTGGCTTCCTCTGCTTCTGGGAAGGATAGGATACTTAAGAGTTGAACACAGTCCCACCAGACAAGTGACTACTTGTATTCACAACCCCAGGCTTGAGGCCTGGCCAACAACTTGTCTTCCAGTAAAGCCGAATGGGTGAAGATTAAATGACACCAGGCCAGCAGTGCTATGTGACTGGCATTGCAGACAGAAAGGATCAATGGAAATTTAGAAAGACAAGACACCATCCCCCAGTACTGGAGTCTCCTCAGCTTAGCAAGGCTTACACCTCCCTTTCACCCCTCAGCCATCTTCTGCTCCCATGTGCCTGGGACTACCAGGAGGAGCCAGCTGCAGGCACCTTGCCAGGCTTCGGTTTACATGGAAAACACCAAGAATGAGGACTACAAGGCCCAGTGTTTTCAGCTCCTGTAGGCTTGTTGCTCCGCTCTCATCGAGCATGTCGGTTCTTATTTTCTTGGCTGATGCTGAAGTTTCATGGGTGTGAACACAGCAAGCCCCATTGTGGTTTCTGATATTGATTACCCCTGAGGGTATTCTTTTCTTGGTGTTCTTCCCACCCACTTACCCTGCTGTGGAGATCCAGGGCGAGGTGTTGACAGGAGCCCCCAGCTGTCCTTTGTGGGTTTGGAAAGTCCCCATAGAGGATCTTGCAGTGTCATGGAGTCAGATAACTGAGCTTCGATGCATGGCTGTGCCACGTGCCAGCTGTGCAGATGGAGCACCCTAGGGTCAGTTGTAAAACAAGCAGCTACATGAGCAGCCCAAGACAACCCTGGAATTTTCCAGGTCAGGCACCATTCCCGGGTTGGAAGCAGCACTGAGGCACAGTGGGCTGAGGTCACGTCTTTACCTGTCTTAGTCTGGTTCTCCACTCTTGTCTCCCTGAGTAGTTTTCAGGAGAATCTGACTGAACTCATTGGATTTATTCAGGCTCAGGACTTCCCAAGTGCATGTGAGGATCTAAGGTCAGATACCAGCACCCTGGGGAAAAGGCAGGTGTGGTGGCACATGCCTGAAAAGGCAGTCCTGGAAAGATCCCTGAGCTTGCTGGCCAGCTAGTCTTGCTGAATCAGTAAGCCCCAGGGTCAGTGAGAGACCCTGTCTCAAAAAATAAGGTGGAGAATGATAAAACAGCAATCGATGGCCTCCCTAAGCATACACACACACACATGCGCATACACACACGCATGCGCATACACACACACACACACGGACATACATGAACACATACACTCCACACCAGGGAGGAAAAGAAATGTCTACCACGTGCCAGAATCTGTCGGAGGACCGACAGGACCAATAAGGGCCTAAGGTAAGTGCTATGAAGGAAGTGGGGAAATGAGGTGGAGAAAACAGCAATCCCAGGGAGTCTGTCTTGGGAGGGGGGTGTAGGCTCTGTGGGGATTTGGCAGAGCAGTGGGAATGGGATTTTTTTTTTTTTCCTGGCTGAAGGTCAGCAAGGAGTTCAATGGGCAAGAGAACCCTTGAGTAAGATTGAGCACTCGGAGACGAAGTGAGAAAGCCGGGTGTCACTCGGTACTGTCACCA